GACGAGCAGCGCGGATCCAGTCGATCAACACCTCAGTGACCTCACCCTTGCGGCGCAAGGGGAAGACCGTGGTGTAACGCGAGTAGTCGTCAACAACCAGCAGGAAGTAACGCTCGTGACCCTGTCCACGGACGCGGGCTGGGCCCCACACGTCCATGTGAAGAGTCTGCAGGGGAGCCTCTGTCGGAGGAAACTCGGAGGAGTGAGGAGCATCGCGCTGCCGGCCCTCGACGCAGGGAACGCAGGTAGGGGGCCTGCCCTGAGACAAGGACACGGGAGGCCATGCCTCGAAGACGAGGCAGGGAGGGGTGACCAAGGCGGTGGTGCCAAAGGAGAGTCTCGTGAGACAGGAGGCGACACGAGCAGGGGGCAGACTCAGGGCCAGACCGCGACGCTGCAGCAAACACCTGACCAGACGCGGCTACCTGACCAGTCGCAGTGACAGGAGGAGACTCAGTGGTAAGGGTGTACAGGCTGGACCCTGGCCGACGGGTGAACGTGGCCAGGTGACGGCCCGTCCTAGCACACGTGCAGTGCGTCACACGCTGATAGGCAGGGGTGAACTGGTGAACACCCCCATCCTGAAGATCAGCACCCGCCACCAAGTTCGTAGAGAACGAGGGGAGGTGAAGACCAGACAGCGAGCCGGACGGAGCCGCAGGACACGGGAGAACAGTGGAGGAACGGGCCACAACTGGTCCCCCAGAGGGGTCAGCCAGAGAGACTGCCACAGGCCGACTGAGCGGCGAGAGTGTGGTGCAGTCACGAAAGAAGCGGGAAGCACCCGAGTCAAGGGTGAAAGTGTGCAAGACCTGAGCCGACGCAGTACCTGAGAGAGCAGCCTCACCAGCACCTGGAGCAGCAGACTCACTAGCACCTAGAGCAGCAGCCTCAATGCCCGGGTCGGGCGGAACACACAGGTAACAGTCACCCTCAGCACTAATAGACACAGCATACATGGCAGCAAGGATAGTATCATAGTCAAGATCAAAGATAGCAACCCCCGACTTAAGCATAATATCCCAGCGAGGGATCTCAGTGGAGCCAGGGAACTGTGTACGCCAGGCGTCAGTCAGGCGGCCGAAGCAGCGGGGTGTGGTGTGCGGGCCGCCGCACGTCTCTCCACTGCGGTCGCCGGTGCGAAGAACGTAAGTGCAGGGACCAGCACCCCCAGACCTCCCACGCCCAGCATACCACTCACGGAGCTGCTGAGGCGACAGGGTCTCACGGGAGCGCTGCTGCTGCTGGCGCTGGTCACCGCTAGAGCCTCCCCGTTGCCCACCACCGCCCCCGCCACCCCCACCTCCGCCTCCGCCGCCGCCACCTCCACCCCCACTCCCGCTGCCTCCGCCGCCTCCACCTCCACTGCCGCCACCAGAGCCCCCACCCGAGCCACCACTCCCACCTCCACCTCCACCCCCACCCCCTCCGCCGCCTCCACCGCCACCACTGCCGCCCCCGCCGCCCCCTCCACCCCCCTTGCCCCACTTGCCCTTGCTGTTGCGGCGCCTCCCACTAGGAGCAGACGCAGTGCCGACCGACTCGGTGCCAACGAGGTCGACAGCAGCAGCAGAGGCAACAGAGGGCAAAAGAGGGACGGGGGAGCACCCCTCAAAGAAAGGGGCACGAGGGTCACCACGAGAGGCTCCTACAGCGACTATACTCTTCTCAGCTGCAAGGAGGCGCTCCTCGAGGAGGTCAACGGTGAGCGTGGTGGGGCAAAGAGAGAGGAAGTGGTCCCTGACCGAGCGAAGGGAGTCAGGGAGCCGGGTGACGAGGTAGTAGAGAGTGATGTACATAGGGGGGGGGTTCGTATTGCAGAACTCGGCAGGAAGCGCAGCGCGGTAGCGGGTGTCACTAGTGCGGAGGTGCGTAATGAGGTCAGCGACTGTGGCAAAAGCGGCTAGGTCAGGGAATAGGTACGGCAGCATGAGGCGGCTAAGGGCAGCAGTGGCAGGGGAGGAGTAGCGCGCAACAACAGCAGTGTACAGAGTGCTAGTAGACTTGTACTGGCTAAAGTGTGCGCGCTCAGCAGACGGCAGGTGACTACGGACAGCAAGACGGGCAGCAGCATCGCGCATGGTCCACTGTGAGCGAACAGTACTGGCAGTATCAGCAGCAGGTGCAGCAGAGGCGCCAGAAGTGAGATCAAACAGTGAGATACCGTCCTTGCTATCGCACTGCAGGAAAAGCTGCAGATCATCGAGCCAGACCTCAAAGTCGACAGCTCGACCCTCAGCATCGAAGGTAAGCACATTGGGACTAGTCATGACAGCAGCAGCAGCAGCAGGCTAGCAGCAGTAGCGGCAGCGCGACTCGGCTAAAGGGCGCGGCTCGGCAGGGCGGCGCGGCTCGGCAGTGCGGCGCGGCTCGGCAGGGCGGCGCGGCTCGGCGGTGCGCTTACCAGGGCCGTGTGGGGTTGGACGCGACTGAAGGGGCAGGGCCGTGGTGCGCCGGCAGGGTCGGGGCCGCAACTGGGCGGCAGGGCAGGGCCGCGGCTCGGCTGCAGGGCAGGGCCGGGGCAGTAGTGACGGCAGCGGCGGCGGCGGCTCGTCACACCGGCGGCGGCAGGCTTGGCGGCGGCGGCAGGGACAGCAGCTGCTGCAGGGCTCCTCGGCGGCTGCTGCAGGTGGAAGCCGCGACCGGCGAGAGGGGCAGGGCGGGGCCGCAGCGGCGGGTCGACGAGCGGAGCCGAGGAGGGCCGCGCCGAAGGCAGGGCGGGTTGTGAAGGGGGCCGCGAAGGGCCGCGAAGGGGGCCGCGAAGGGCCGTGAGGGGGCCGTGAAGGGCCGCGAAGGGGCCGCGAAGGGCCGTGAGGGGGCCGCGAAGGGCCGCGAAGGGGCCGCGAAGGGTCGTGAGGGGGCCGCGAAGGGCCGCGAAGGGGCCGCGAAGGGCCGTAAGGGGGGCCGCGAAGGGCCGCGAAGGGGGCCGCGAAGGGTCGCAAGAGGGGCCGCGAAGGGCCGTAAGGGGCGCGACGGGCCGCTAAGGGCAGGGCACGCGACGGGAGGGCATGCGCACGGGGCGCAACTAAGGCAGGCGCGAAGCGCGCTTCGGGCAGGTAAGGAAAAAAAATATTTTCGTTGTGGTGGGCCCTAAAAATCGTTCCCACTAGGGAACCAGCTCTATACCATGTGAGAGAAGTACGAGGAATGAAATGGCTAGAAATGAGATGGGTACAAATAGGGAAACCTAGAAATGTTGTACCCCCTATTGTCTAACCCACTACAGCCTAAACAGGCTATAACATAAGTTTGACACCACGAACCCGACACAACCCCACTTTCACTCGAAGACCATCGCCTCTATCAGCAGCAGCTGGGGTGTCTCCTGTTCGCCGCCGTCACGTGACTGCCCGATCTCTCCTACGTCGCAAGCCAGCTCGCTCAGTACCTGAAGCGACCTGAAGGGGACAATCTACTGGATCTACGCCGCGCACTTCAATACTTCGTCTCTACTCCTGACGTCGGGCTCACCTACGAAGCTAACCTCACTGCTACTCTACAGCTTCACGGCTACGTTGACGCAGACCACGCGGGAGACATTGACAACACACGCTCCCGTACAGGATTCATTTTTCAACTCCAACCCGCCGGACTCATCTCTTGGAACTCCCAGAAGCAGGAGCTCATTGCACTTTCGTCAGCCGAAGCTGAGTTCATCGCCGCCAGCGCAGCTGTTCGCGAAGGCCTGTACCTGATGGAGCTTCTACAGGAAGCGAAAGTGACGATGAACGGGCACTTCACGTTACTCTGCGACAACCAGAGCGCGATCAAGATCGCGAACAAACCCGGCTTCGTGAACCGCACGAAACACATCGCACTCCGTTACTTCTTCGTCAAGGACGAGATCGACAAGGGCAAGGTCAAACTCACCTATTGCCCAACCGGTGACATGGCAGCAGATTTCTTGACCAAGAAACTGCCACGTCAGAAGTTTCAGCACTGCACCAACCTCTGCGGGATCTCGAAGAAATCCCACGTGGCTCACCTTTAGGAATGAAGGGGAGTGTTGGAATAACCGAAAGGTTATTATAACATTCCCGAAGGCTCTCCACTCGCGCGTCACTCCATAACGAAGCAACGCGCCTGTATCAGTATCGCAATAGCTCATATAGAGCATGCGGAAAGTAGAGGGTCACCCGAAGGTCAACAGTCGAAGCTATATATATATATATATAGGTCAACGATCGAAGGTCAACGGTCGTGCCCCTTGACTGCCCAGTAACCGCACTTGGTAGTTACGTGCTGCAACACGGTAACTGTCAAAGAATAGCAATAGTCGTGGTTACTGTAGCAATGTAATTCAGTTAATAAGGGAATGTACCCCTCAGAGTACATGGCTAGCTAGGATTGCTATTTATTCCTTGTATCACTATCCTTTAATCATCTTGTTCTCTTTCAATCTTATCAACAAGGTCATTCAAAGACTTTAGTCTCTTTCCTTGAACCTAACAGCCTTATCCTGTTCACTACGATCCTTCACCTATAACAACAGTCGGCTCAAGTGTATGTGCAGCGCAATCGTCAAGCGCATCATCACCGTCTCTTGTAGAGGCACGGTTTCAAGCTTGGCCATTTAATGTCAGCAGCAGACAATGAATTACTATTCTTCACCTGGCCATTCTTCAACCAAAGCACAGCAGTATTCCATACAATCACCCGTCTCTCCCTCCACGCCACGCCCAACAAAGCCAACAAGAAAAGAGAGGTGTACACACTGAACATCTTAAACAATCAGAAAACCACATGAGAAATTCATGAGGTGCATGCAAACGAGAACATGGTGATTAATATGCTTGGGTTTATCGTTGAGTAAAGACGTAAGCACGGGATAAGCAACAAAATATCACGCATTAGATTGCAAACAAACCAAGAAGCACCACAACAATATTACCGGTACTTTCATGGCATAAATTGCTCCCTACCTTAGCCTGCCAGCCTGTCACTCACCTCCGTCTGCACCTTTTCAAGGAATGAGAGTGCATTCCAACCATAGTAGATCCTTACCTGTCACTTGAGTAAATTCCTTTCCTGTCACTCACCTCCGCCTGCACCTTCTCAAGGAAGAGGAGGAGAAACATCTTGTTGCTCAAATCCTGCCCCCCAAAAAAAAAACAAAAACAAAAACAATCAATTGAACAACTGTGTGTGATTGACCCTGTACTGTACATTGGAGACGAGGCGGAACCCCCTAGGTGCTCAAGTGTGGCGAAGCACTGCTTCAGGTCCGCCCCTCCTGTGGGTCGGTGCGAGTATGGCATGTAATGTACCCCAGAAGTGTAACCCAATACGACTCCAAGTCCGTACCTTGGTAACGAGGCGGAACCCTAGGTGTTTGAGTGCAGCGAGAAAGTCTTTCAACTCTGCCCCTCCTGTGGTGGGGTCGAACCGGCTCCTGACCTCCGCAATAATGAGAGAGCCCCTGTGGGTTGAAGGGGGGAGGGGAGGGAGATGAGGGAGAGAGGAGAGGAGCGGAGCTGGCTATCCATCTCGGCTAAAATGCGAGCAGAGACGAGCACCATAAGGCGCATCAGACCCTCCTGTGGGGGAGTCAAACCGGCTCCTGACCTCAGCGATTATAAGCGAGCCTCTGGAGGGGGAAAGGGGAAGGAGGGGGGGAAGGCACCATAACCCGCCTCAAATCCCTCCTGTGCTCGGGTCGAACTGGCTCCTGATCTCAGCGATTACGAGCGAGCCCCTGTGGGTGGATGGGGGGAGGAGACAGGAGGATGGCGGAGGCACAGAAAGCGCCATACATAGGGCGTCTCAAAAGCCCTCCGGTGGTGGGGTCGAACAGGCTGCTGACCTCGGCTATAATGCCATGCCCTGCCCTGCCCTGCCATGCCCCGCCGTCCACAACCCATAGCCCTCCCATGCCATGCTACGCATTTCCAAGGTGCAGGAGGCAAAAGTAGGCTTACCCTGGGCTGAGCACAGGGTGGGCTTCTGAGAGGAGGGAGGGGTGGTCTGCTCCCATGAGAACCTGTATCACGGTATCACCCCTTGACCTGTTGCAGACAAACTACTTTACCGTACCGCACCGTACCGCACTGTACTGCACTTACCTGGGCTGCAAGACACAGTGAGGTTCAGAGAGGAAGGAGGAGAAGTCGGCTCCCATGAGGGAGCTTTCACTGCATCGTTCATTGCCCTGCCGTACCCCTGTATGGTCTTTGAGGCGCCTCAGAAGTCGGCTCCCACTGCATCGTTCATTTCCCTGCCGTACCCCTGTATGGTCTGCTCCCATGAGAACCTGTATCACCTCTTACACTACAGCAGAGGAACCACTTTTCTGTACCGTACTGTACCGTAGCAGAAACAGGCTTACCCAGGCTGCAACACGCGGTGGGATTCAGAGAGGAAGGAAGGGTAGTCTGCTCCCATGAGAGCCCACATGCTATGCCATGCCCTGCCATGCCCTGCCATGCCATGCCCTGCCCTTACCCAGGCTGCAACACGCGGTGGGATTCAGAGAGGAAGGAAGGGTAGTCTGCTCCCATGAGCGAGAGGCAGAAGACTGCGATGTTGACTGACGAATCTTGTAGGGGAGTCTGGTAGAGGGGCAAAGGGACATGAGGGCATGGGATCATGGGAGCATGGGACACACACACGGGATATTCACATATGGTTGCGGGTATGCGGTGAGGTTCAGAGTTAAGGAGGAAAGAGGGGTAGTCTGCACCGCACCCATGAGGGAGAGACAAAAGACTGCAATGTGGACTGAGGAATCTTGTAGGGGGGTCTGTAAACAGCGACAAGGGGATGACATGGGTGGGCATGGGAGAGTCACATGCATAGAGTTTTGAGTTGTGTCAAAACGAGGAGGGGGGCCAATGGGCAGGAGGGAGAGGCAGAAGACTGCAATGTGGACTGAGGAATCTTGTAGGGGGGTCTGAAACAGCGACAAGGGGACGGCATGGGTGGGCATGGGAGAGTCACACGCATAGAGTTTTGAGTTGTGTCAAAACGAGGAGGGGGAGCAATGGGCAGGCACGAGGGAGAGGCAGAAGACTGTAACGTTGACTGAGGCGGCTGGTAGGGGGACTGTCATGGGGGCATAGGGGGATGGTGAAACTGGGACGATATGGGATAGGATAGCCACACGTTGTTAAAGTCACAAGTGGTTACAGTCAAACTCCATGCCATGAGCCATGTTGCACGCTATCACGCCAGGAGCAGCAGCCAGCAGGTCTAGGGAGACCACTTTGTTGGGTACACATGGCTATAGCGACACACACACACACACACACCATGCTCCCCCTACTCACATGCGCCATGTTGCACGCTATCACGCCAGGAGCAGCAGCCAGCAGGTCTAAGGAGGTCACTTTGTTGGGCACACAGGCTGCTAGCTTGCTGCCTTGTTACAGACAGTCAGATACCATGCTTACACACCATCCATGCCCATACTCACATGCGCCATGTTGCATGCGATCACACCAGGAGCAGCAGCCACCAGGTCCAAGGAGGTCACCTTGTTGTGCACACTGGCTGCTAGCTTGCTCCTCTACAGTTATGATGACGCCGTGCTTATAGCCATGCATGGGTACAGTCACACACCACACCACATGCCACATACTCACATGAGCCATGTTGCATGCGATCACATGGGGAGCAGCAGCCACCAGGTCTAAGGAGATCACCTTGTTGGGCACGCTGGCTGCTAGCTTGGCCTCGCCTGTTGGGATTGTGAGGTTTCTTGGAAAAGGAGGAAGAAACCTTGACACAAGTGCATGCGCTTTGAGTCATTATATATTACAAAAGTGACAGATGTGACAGATTGATAGTGCGGAAGGCATGGCACACACTGGTGGTGACTAGATGCCACAGCCAAAGTCAGCCACTGTGAGGATGGTTGGGCGCTGGCGGATCCAGTCAATGATGACGTGGATGTGAGGTTAACACACGGGTCAACCAGAGTCAACAAGGGTCAACGAGATTCAACCAGAGTGAAAGGGGCTAACCCGCAACTGTGAGGGTGGCTGGTCGCTGACGGATCCAAAGAGGAAAGTCAATGCAAGTCAACGAGGGTCAACGAGGGGAATCAATGAGGGTAAACGAGCTCACCACAGCCAAAGTCAGCCACTGTGAGGGCGGCTGGTCGCTGGCGGATCCAGTCAATGATGACGAAAGTCAATGCAAGTCAATGAAATTTAATGAGAGTCAATAAGGTTCAACGGGGGTGTATTTGCTTACCGCAGCCGAAGTCGGCCACTGTGAGGGTGGCTGGGCACTGGCGGATCCAGTCAATGATGACGTGGAGAGGGTTGATTGGCCAGGACGCCACCTGCTCCCGATAGCCTTCGTGGTACTGTTCATGTGTGCATGGATGAGGTGGGATGGGGTGGAATGTGGTGGGGTGGGATGGGGAGGGGGTGGAATGGGATGGAATGGGATGGAATGGGATGGGATGGGATGGAATGGGATGGAATGGGATGGGATGGGATGGAATGGGATGGAATGGGATGGAATGGGATGGAATGTGATGGAATGGGATGGAATGGGATGGAATGGAAAAAGGCGCACCACCTCCCGGTAGCCCTTGTGGTACTGTTCATGTGTGCATGCATGGGGTGAAAGCAGGGGGGATGGGATGTGATGGGATGGTGTAGGAAAAGGGTGAGGTTGAACAAAAGACACAGCTACCTGCCCCCGGTAGCCCTCGTTGACTTTTGAGTCGACTCAAAAGTCAACTCTTTCACGGAGTTCAATCAGACGTCCAAACCCCTCTTCACCGCTTTCAAACCCTCCATATACACATTTCTCTCACCTGTGCAAACGCGTTTGGATCTTCAGAGAACATCTGAAACGCCTTCTCTCCATCCGAGGTGTAGAGCGTCTCGCATTGACATGCAAGGGCATTCACTCATTTTCACCCCTTTGCACTCCTTCCAAACCCGTTTCCATCCATTCCTCTCACCTGTGCAAACGCGTTTGGATCTTCAGAGAAAAGCCTTCTCTCCATCCGAGGCGTAGAGCGAGCGACTCATTCACTTGCGAGCTCATTCATTACCTCTTTTTACCTCTTTTTACCGCTCTCAAGCCCATCCCCATCTCATTGTGTATCCACAATATCTCCCTCTCACCTGTGTGAAAGCGCTAGGGTCTTGAGAGAACATCTGAAACGCTTTATCTCCATCCGAGGTATAGAGCGTCTCATTCTCTCGGAGTTCAATCAGACATTCAAACCCCTCTTCACCGCTTTCAAACCCTCCAGTTATCCATCCCTCTCACCTGTGTGAAGGCGCTAGGGTCTTGAGAGAACATCTGAAACGCTTTATCTCCATCCGAGGTATAGAGTGCCTCGTTGAGCGATCGGAAGCGACCGCCTGCTAAGCGTGCCTTCATCTGATGTGATCGGTGACAGGACGAAAGGGGGAGGAGGGGGGGGGGAAGGGAGGAGAGGGGAGGGGAGGTTCAGGGAGGGGGAAAGGAGACAAGCACACAGGTCTGCAGAAGGTACACGCCGTCTTGTCCCCATCCGACGTGTAGAACGTCTCGTTGAGCGATCGGAAGCGACCGCCTGCTAGGCGCGCCTTCATCTGATGTGATCGGTGATAGGAGGGGAGGGTAGGGTCAGGGGATGAAAGCACATAAGTCTGTATCCTCTGAGAACGTCTGAAACGCTTTGTCCCCATCTGATATGATGGGATGGGAGGGGAGAGGAGGGGAGGCGGAAAGAAGTACACATCGCCTTATCTCCACCCGAGGTATAGAGTGTCTCATTGAGCGATCGGAAGCGACTGCCTGCTATGCGCGCCTTCATCTGATGTGATCGGTGATGGGTTGGGTTGGGATGGGATGGGATGGGATGGGATGGGATGGGATGGGATGGGATGGGATGGGATGGGATGGGATGGGAGGGGAAGGGAGGGGAAAAGAAGCACACGAGTATGAATTTGATATACGTTTCCTTGTACCCATCTAAAGTCTAAAGCGTCTCTTTGAGAGATTGGAAACGACCCCCCTAGGCGTGCCTTCGTCTGATGCGATGGGATTTGAGGGAGGGGACGGAGGGGAAGGGAAGGGAGGGAGCAGAGGTGAAAAGGAGCACGTAGTATGATTTTTTTAGGCGCCTCAAAAAAAGAGGGAGCGGAGGAGGAGGGAAGGGAGGGAGCAGAGGTGAAAAGGAGCACGTATTATGAGTTTTATACAAGTTTCCGATGTACAAGTTTCCGGCGGTCACCGGTCCCCATCTGGAATGTAGAGTGACTTGTTGAGTGACCGGTGACCACCAGCTAGGCACGCCTTCACCTGATATGATCGGCGATGGGGGGGGGGGGGGGGGGGGGAGAGGGGAGGAAGGAAGGGAGGGGAGAAGAGGGGAGGAGACCATAAAAGGCAGGGTACGAAAAAAAAAAGGCAAGAGTGTGCGACCAGACAGACACAACAGTGTGCTGACTAAAGAAGTGTGTGCTCTTTTCCCAAACCTCGCATGCAACATGGCCGTTCAACCGTGCCCAAAACAATATTATAAGCCCTGAACCTCTAAGCCCCAAGCCTTAAACCTCATTCTTCTGAGTGGAATCCAAAACCTGAAACTCAAAACCCTGAAACCCTAAACCTGAAACTTGAAACCCAAAACCTGAAACCCCATTGCTGGTAGTACCTTGTCCAGAAGGCTGAGCTTCTTGCTGCTGCTGCCTCCTCCTCCATTTCCTACTCGGAGGAAGCTGCTGCTGCTTCTTGCGTTGTTGGCAGCACTCGCGCCAACATCCCCACCTGCACTTTTGGCAGCATCCGCACCAGAACCACCACTGGCACTTTTGGAAGTATCTCCACCAACAATCTTCCCCGCCGCACCTGCTTTCCCCTTTCTGCGCCGCCCCTTTTTGCTGTCGTTTTCTGCAACTTGAGCTGCTGCACCTGTTCCTGTAGCCACATCTCGTAGGCTCTGGCCAATCGGGTTTCCCTGACCAGATGTACCTTCCCCAGGTATACCTGATTGACCTGATCGGCCTGATTGACCTAATTGTAATGAACCTTCCCCCGGTATACCTTTTCCGGCTTGCCCTGATTGTAAATCACCTTCAGCAGATAAACCACGCTTCCGCTTGGACCCGAAACCCTCTCCCCGGCTAAACCCTGTGGCCTCGCCCTTGGCCCTCTTAGCGGGATGATGCGGTACCAACGGCCCAGATTTCGTCCCTGTTGCGGAGTCTTGTTGCCTGACCGTCGATGTGCCTTGGCTTGCTGGGGTGGCTTTTCTCTTCTTCTGCTTGTTCTTGTTCTTCGGCATGGTAAATTCTACTAAACTTCCGTATGTAATATGAAATATTAACTAAGCGTTGCTGTGCCTGCTTTGAGAGCATCGAGACTAAGCAAAAGCGTAAATCTAAACCTCTACGCTTTAAACGTTAGCGACGAAGTCACCCGCGTGCAATGCGAAAGCGGACACTAACGTAACGTCGTGAAATAACTCGCAATGGGAAATAAGGTTTGTTAAGGACGGACGCGGTGGGGTTGAAACTAACGCGGTGAGAGCGAGTGAAGTCGTAGGAATAATCAGAAACGTCTGATCAAGGCAGTCGTGCGCTGGAGAAGTAGAATCCACGAAATGGGGATGGATCATAGTGGCACCGTACTGGACCACATTTCACCGAGTTTACGTAGTTCGCTCATTGAAATTGGAACATGTCAAGTGGGTTTGTACAGGGCGCATTCGGGTTCGGGCCAAACCTCTGATTTGAGGGTCAACCTTGAGCCTTCCGAGGCGACTTCCGGCCCTACACACCTTTGTCGCCTGACTGGCTTGGAACTTCCGAGCGGAGTCCCGAATACGCCCTAGAGTGAGTTGAGAGCGAACACCCGAGACAGAACAGGACCTTATGCAATATCATTCGATGTTCTTGGGAACTCCGTCCAGAGCAGGTCTTGGAAACTTGTTTTTCTAGGTGTGTCATGATTGGGGGTGTGGTGTCAAGTTGGCAATCTCGAGGTTTTACAGCCTAGATTTGCATGGATGAGTTACAACTTCCCACCGTAACTCATCCATGCAAATCTAGTTTTAACCCTACAGAATCGTGACTAACCCCTTGAAAAAAGTGATTATGCCGGCGATTGAACATCTTGGTCTGCTGATTGTCAGGGCGTGTCCCACGACTTCTCTTTTCGTTCAAGTTGTGCGGTGGAGAAAGTTTCTGTGCTTTTTAGAACGGTTTTTATGCTCCACCGCTTTGAACCGTGACCCACCAGTCTGAACAGTGATTCATGGGCTGCAAACGAACTCGTGGGACACGCCCTTATGCCTGTGATCAAGCCAAGCCGAGCCCATCGTCGTTCTGCTCCACTTCTGTTGCTCCTCCCATCTATGGTTTATTTTCCCATTTCCGCTCGTCTGCCGTACTTTTCTTACGAGTACAACTGGTAATCTCCTGCGAGCACATGCTCGCGCGTTTGCATTGAGCGTTCGTAGCTCGCATTCTATGGCGCGAGAGACAAAAGGTCAAGCAGCACAATTTTACTACGCAGCGAGCCAGTCCTCCAGAACTTGTCTAGAACCTTACCGAATTGGCATTTCAGAAAAGTTATACACACAGTAAGGGTAAATCTGCGGACGACTAGCTTAGGCGTTTCATTACGGTTCATTTCGGTTCTGAGGGCTTCGGTAGCTAAGAGGAAAGGAGGAGGGAAGGCATCCGGCGTTGCGATTCGCTTCTGAGAATTTCTTGCCATTGTTCTTGGAGATTAAGATTTACTAGACGAGCGGAAGAAAAGTCAGAAGGAGGCGAAAAGTACTTCTGAGGCGCCTCAAAAGAGGGAATGCTGAGAGATGCGGAAGAGCAGCGGACCCCACCGATCGGCGGAACGATCCGCTCAATCCCCGGAGGCAATACACGACCTTTACGGGGCCCCGCAATTCGCAAATGCGGCAGCGAATCACGCCGGAGAGGAGCGGTATTACGATCATGCGCCACCGATAGGAGTAGAACGAGGAGGGAATGTTGCTCCGCCTCGGCGGTCCCGCAGCATCTCCCCGGCCGTGGGGGAGGGGAACATGGCGCGCGGAAACGGGGAGCGCGCGGGGGGGAGCTTGGCGGCGGGTATGGTGATGGGGGAAGTTAAGAACCACACGGGGAGGGTCAAGGACTTGGGTAGGGCTAGAAGCGGTATGGCGGAAGCAGACATGGGCCATGCACGGACAGGTGCGGATATGGTTCAAGGGAGGGTGTATAGAAAAATGGCGACGGAGCGAGAGAGAGGGAAGGAGGCGGAGCGGGTGAGACAGCGCGACCTCGAAAGGGGGATTTACCTTGGAGATTTCGACAGATCTGTGTCGGAAACCGCGACTGAGAGGGCGCAATCGGGTGGTTTACCCTGGAATAATGTAGATCGAGCGCATGAGCTGCTGGATAGACCGCCTACGGGGTCGCTAGGGGTGGAAAGGATGAGGCGGAGGGAGAAAGGAGCAGAGGCGCGACGAGAGGCGGAGAGGGAGGGGGCAAGGGGGAGGGCGAGGGATGGGGTTAGGTCAGGAATTGGGGGAGAGACGGATGTGATGGGAGGAGGAGGTGATTATAATGAAGGGGAGGATGAACAGTACCTACGCATGGCGACGTGTGATTCGTCGGTGCGACCAGGGAGGAGCAGGGGTGGGTGGGCCAGGGGAGGGCAGGGTGGGGTTGGTGGCGAATGGGAGTGTGACACGTCAGCTGGGAGAGAGGAGGAGGAGGAATCGGAAGGGGATTCTGAAGAAGACATGGGGTCACAGACAAAAGCGGCAAGTTGGCAGCAGCAGCAGCAGCAGCAGCAGCTGGGTTACGGTGCTTCAGCTGCTGACTACTCTGCCTCTGCTTCCACTTTCTCTCACTCCTCTGCGGGTCCGAGGCGAATCCATCACAGTGCAACAGCAGGGGAGGCAGAAGGAAGGGAGAGGAGGCGAGGGGGGAAGGTACTGGGAAGCGCAGGGGAGAAACGCGGTGGGGGAGTGGGTGTTGTTGGGGAGGGGGAGGAAGAGGGGATGAGCAGCGATCACCTGACGAGAATAGCAGCCCAGATGATGGGGTTCGAGGATGAGGACGGGCAGGATGGGCAGTACGGGCAGGAGAAACTTTTGCAGGAACCAAAGCAGGAGGAGCTGATTGGTCCATCCGCCCTGCTGCCGCCGAGCCACAGCTCCTCCCGACCCTCTTCCATCCGCAAGGCACACTCAGCCTCGGCCAAGCCTGCGAAATCCGGAGGCTCGGCAGCAGGCTCGGGAGCCGGCGTAGTTAGTGACAGTCAATTTGTCGAGGACCTGCTTCAGCTAGGGTTGAATGATTCGCGGCTAAGGGACTGGGCTGCCAGGTTCAAAGCAGGGCAGACAGACAGACGGGAGCTGCAAACACTGCTACTGGAGCTTCAGGAAAAGCAGAGGTTGCAAGGGGCGGGAGAAGTAGCAGGTGGGAAGGGAGAGGAATGGATGGGAGGATCTGCAATGGGGGAAGATGAGGCAGAGGGAGTGGCAGAATCTGCTGCTGCAGCAGCAGCCGCTGGGTCAGGATTAGGGTTAGGGTTTATGGGGGGTTCCAGGCCTAGATCTTCCTCTCGCAGGCTTGCCAGTAGCAGTGGCGTCCGAAGCAGGCCAGCTTCGTCGTCGTACCACAACCGAACCCAGCGGGCCGGGCACGCCAGGTTCGGCAGCAGCATAGGCTTGGGAACAAGCCTGGGCGGGTTGGTCTCGGGAGCAGGCTCGGGAGACGCATTGGAGGGGTCCGGTTCGGAGGGTGGGTCGGACGCGGAGGATTTTTTGACATCAGTTCCCCCTTCGGCTCTAGACGTTCTGCAGGGCAGCGGGCAGGCGAAAAAGAAACCTCCAACCGGAAATTGGAAGAGCCCTCTTTCAGGCGCAACACCACCAGGAGAATCCTCATCCACATCTGGCGTTCCCTCTGCACGATCTGGACCGTTGATCTCAGCAGGATCTGTCCCATCAAGATCCCGAGGGACATCTGCAGCGTCGATTCTAAGGCATGGAAGTTGGGAGCAAAGGGAGTTTGCACAGCTGGCAGAGCAATTCGGGCTAGATGCAGAAGAGGATGGGCTGGGCGGGTTGGTGGAGGGTGGGAGGCAGGAAGGCGCAACTGGTGCGGGTGGTCCTGGGGTAGGCTTATCTGGTGCAGGTGCAGCAGGGGGAGGTTTATCTGGTGCAGGTGGGAGGTGGATTGGGAGGAGCAGCTCAGTTCCCGAGGCAGGTCCGTCTGGAGGCTCATGGGGGAGTCCTGGGGTAGTGGGAGGGGTGGGAGGAGTAGGATTGGGAGGAAGAGGAGGAGTGGAAGGAGTGGGAGACACAGAAGATGAGGTACAAGGGGGAGGAGCAAGTGGAGTGGTGGAATCAGGGGCTACTGCTGCTACAGCGGGTGGTGGTGGTAGGGGTGGTGGTGACTTGTACGGGGGAGGAGTTCTAGGAGGAGGGTTGGCAGATCTGTATGGCAGTGATAGGATGGCTGCTGCTGCTTCTGCTACAGCTGCTTCTGCTGGTGGTGCTGCTGCTGCTGCTGCTGCTGGTGTAGGCAAAACGGCTGCTTCTGCTGGTGCTGCTGCTCATACTGGTGACCTTTATGCAGCAGTCTCACCGCCACAATCATTCCCACCTCCACCGAACCTACCTCCTCCACACCCATCTGCACCACTCCCACCAGCATCCTCCCTCTCCAGAAAACCCCCTCAGCCAAGGCTCCCCCGTGCCTTTTCTGCAGACACAGTAAACGCCCCTTCCCCCCGCTCTCATCCAGGAGAGGGAGAGATATCGGGCGTGATATCGGGAGCGAGAGAGGGAGAAACAGATGGAGTGGGAGAGCTACGGGGAGCAGAGGAGGGGATGTTATCCTTAGAGAGGAATCTGAGCCTTCCGTCACCGAAGCCGGTCGTACAGGTGGAGGAGGCTTCATTCGATCGCAACCTGTCGCTGCACAATGTGATCAAGAAGCGGATCAGCAGCCACGCTGGGGAGGTGGGGCAGCAGTTTGCTCGCCTCTCCACTCTCCTCAAGAAGGCATGTGAGTGATGCTGCCCCTCTTGTTCCCAAAAAATTGCTTTCCTCTCCCACCAAGTTGCTTTCCTCTCCCCCGTTCTCAAGCCTGGTTGTGATGTGCCCCTTCCCCACCACCAACCTGTCGCTGCACAATGTGATCAAGAAGAGGATCAGTAGTAGTTTGCAGTAGTTGTGCCGGGGAGGTGGGGCAGCAGTTTGCCCGCCTCTCCACTCTCCTTAAAGCAGCAGTTTACATTTGGCAGGGCGAGTGCCAGAAGTTTATAAATGGTACATGGTGGGGTCTAAATCGTGAGGCACACTGTAAAACCCTGATCCCCACTGTCAAATGTATACTGCTGCTTTAAGATGTTATGTGAGTGTGCCCCTCTCCCATTCCCACCCTCCCAATGCCTGTGTGCTCCACCCTGCGCTGCCCCTTCATCGTCTCTCGCTCCTGTCTATCCCTTTCCATTTATACACTCCTGCCCTGCCCACCCACTTGCTTTCCAGCGTCCACACCCAACGCACCTGGCATTGGTGGCAGTGGAGCAGCAGGCAGGTGTCATTTCTCATTCTCACCTGGGGCACTTTCAATTGCCTTCATATTCTTCCCTGTCCGCCCTTACACTCCTGTCCTCTCATGCTTGCTTGCTTGCCTGCCAGCGTCCACACCCAATGCACTTGGTAGTGGGGGCAGTGGAGCATCAGGCAGGGGGTAATTTTCATTTTCACCTGGAGCAATCTCATTCCCTTGCTCCTCCCCCCCCCCCCCCCCCCTCTCTCCACCCTTTATTCCTGTCTTTCCTGCTTGCTTGCTTGCTTGCCAGCGTCCACACCCAACGCACCTGGCGTTGGCGGCAGTGGAGTATCCTCAGGGGGCAGACTACATTCTCATTTTCTTCTTGCTCATTCTCTCCTCTCCTCTCCTCCCTCTCCCTGTCCGCCTACACTCCTGCCCTGCCCTGCTCTGCTTGCTCGCTTGGTTTGCAGCATCCACACCCAATGCACCTGGCGTTGGCGGCAGTGGAGCATTATCAGGGGGAAAGCGGCTGGCACAAGAAGGGAAGAAACCACCCAAGCCAGCCAAGAGTGGATCAGACCGGCCGTCCAGTGGCAACCCACTTGCCAGGTGCGTGTGTTTCTCTTATCAGCATTCTATCCTATCGCAGGCAATGGAGCACAGCGTAATGTTGTGAACACAGAAGCAGCAGCAGGGGGCAAGCGGCCGGCGCAGGAGGGGAAGAAACCTCCCAAGCCAGCCAAGAGCGGATCAGACAGACCGTCCAGTGGCAACCCACTCGCCAGGTGCGTCTGTTTGTGTTTTCCTCTCAGCATCCACACCCAACGCTCCTGCCAGTGCGGGCAGTGGGGGCAGTGAGGCATCATCAGGGGGCAAGCGGGCGGCACAGGAAAGGAAGAAACCACCCAAGCCAGCCAAGAGCGGATCAGACAGACCCTCCAGTGGCAACCCACTTGCCAGGTATGGTTTGTTTGTTTTGTTTGGTTCTTCTCACTGCCGAACCTCTTTCTCCCCCTCCTGTCCCGTTTTCCCATTCCAATCTTGCTTCTTTGCATGTGGGTGGGTGGGCTATGTGCATGTGCAACTGTGTGTGCGTGCAGCAATTTTTTATGGTGAGCCTGTACGTGTATATGACTATGTGTTTATGATAAAAAGAAAGTGCATGCATGTATAACCCTGGTAGTAGTGTTTCACCATGCATGAAGTGAGTCACCATTACGATGGTTTACTCACTCTTTCTCCTTATTTCCACTCAAGAACATCATTCCATCCACCCGAACTCCCCCTTTGTTCCCCTCGCTCAGAACATCATCTATTGCAGCAGAGTTTGGCGATTTACCAGCACCCAAGAGAGTCCCTCAATACCTGAAACCCAATCCTCCTCTTCCCCTCCAACCTTCTCTCTTCACCCCCTCCTCCCCCCTTGCGCTCTTCCATCAGAACATCATCTATTGCAGCAGAGTTTGGCGATTTGCCAGCACCCAAGAGAACGCACTACCAGTACTCGGAACTGCAGGTGTGTTTTGAATACACTGAGTCGATTTTTTAGGCGCCTCAAAATTAACTCAATACTAGCATAATGTGGCGATTTGCCAGCACCTAAGAGAACCCACTATCAGTACTCAGAACTGCAAGTGTGTTTCGAATCAGCTTATAGCATGAAAAGCAATTGGCGCACATATGCATAGCTTTCAAGATTCTCACAGCAGCATTCTAACAAAACGCTCCCTCCTCCTCCCCCTTCTGCCGTTTCCCACCCCTCGTCCAATCACCCGTTGCCAGCTGGCGACTGAGAATTTCAACGAGGCCAACGTGTTGGGGCAGGGCGGATTCGGGAAGGTGTATTATGGCGTGCTGCCCGTGCACCCCGCTCAGGTGAGAAATGCTGCACCGTTCAGGTGATAACGCAGATACTTCAGATTACAGTATCGTGCTGCTATGGGAATTTCAGGGCGGATTCGGGAAGGTGTATTATGGCATGCTGCCTGTGCACCCCGCTCAGGTGAGAAATCAGCAGCTTCTGGATACTGTACCGCTGAGGTGAGAAATCAGAATCATTGTCTTGGTACAGTACCATGCTTAGCTGGCAAATTGGATGGGCAGCCTTGGACTTGGCAAGCTACCTAGCAAAAACTACCTCGCATGAAGTTTAATCTTCAAACGCTGAGTTTCTACTGGCCGTTGCCAAGTCAACCAACCAGCCACCACATATCGTCGCCTCGCTCCGTCCATCAACAATCCCCTAGCATTCCTAAGTGCCACAGTTTTCAATGATTTCTTCTTTAAGCCCTTACGTGTATGCAGACACCTTATGTTTGCCTCTTTACTGCGAGTATCCCATTTTGTTCTCTCCATCAGGTGGTGGCAGTGAAGGTGCTGAAGCAAGGAGGGGCGCAGAGTTTGTCGCTAGGCCCGTGTGTGTGTGTAATGTCCGTATTTATATTATGCCATTTACACCGCGAATCGCCCTCTCACCATCAGGTGGTGGCAGTGAAGGTGCTGAAACAAGGAGGAGGGGAGCAGGGCGACGAGGAGTTTGTGACAGAGCTGGAGCTGCTGAGTCGACTGGAGCACAAACACCTTGTGAGTGGGAGAGGGAGGATGGAGCAGCATGAAGGGAAGGGGGAAGGGAGCAGGGCGATGAGAGTTTGTGACAGAGCTGGAGCTGCTGAGTCGCCTGGAGCACAAACACCTGGTGAGTGAGTGGGGCCGGTGCTGGGAAGATAGGACCATGGGAATAGGCAGGATAGGTAGAGGGGAGAGCAAGATGAAGGAGGGGAGCAGGGCGATGAGGAGTTTGTGACTGAGCTGGAGCTGCTGAGTCGACTGGAGCACAAACACCTGGTAAGGGGAAGGGAGGGAGAATTCAGTGTTAATGGGAGGGGAGCAGCGGGGAAAGGAGCAGGGCGATTGAGGAGTTAGTTACAGATCTGGAGCTGCTGAGCCGCCTGGAGCATAAATACCTGGTGAGAGGGGGAGGAAGGGAGAATTCAGTGTTAATGGGAGGGGAGCTGCTGAGTCGACTGGAGCACAAACACCTGGTGAGTGGGAGGGAGGGGGAGAGGGAGGTAGGTAATGCGGGCGTATCCAACCAGAGAGCATGTGGATAAAGCTCCAAAGTGGTGCTTGTCAGAACTTGAGCTTAGAATCCATGCATTAGTAATGAGCTCGAAGCTCTTTAAGTACATCCAGATGAGCAAGGAATGGATGGGGAGGGGAATCGGGGACAATCTCTAGAAATTGGGGGTAATCCCAAGGCAATCTCCATTTGGTGGGTTGGAGATTGCTTGGAGATCACATTTGGGTTTGGTTGGGATGTGGGTGTACACCCAACCAAACACAAAGTGCAAACTACACTACGCTAGGATATAGAAAGTACAAATACAAAGTGTGAGATTGAGGGCTAACACTAACAGTGCTCTCATAAGGAGTTTGTGACAGAGCTGGAGCTGCTGAGCTGAATTTTGCACAAACACTTGGTGAGTTGTGTAGTAGAATGACCTGCATTGGAAGCAGCAACTACCATTACTTGTATCACCGTTTCAAAATTATCACCTGGTGCAGACTTTCTTTCATTCTTTCCTTCTCTATGACACCTTCCTCTTCCTCTTTATCTCCCTGCATCCCCTTCCCCTCCCGTCCTCCCCCGGCAGGTGAAGCTGATGGGCTACTGCATGCGCAAGAACCAGCGGCTGCTAGTGCCAATGCACTGTACTGTACCAGCTGGCTTGACAATGCTAAACAATTTGCAATTTGGCTCCTCCGCTTCCCCTCCCTTCCCCCTCCCTGCAGGTGAAGCTGATGGGCTACTGCATGCGCAAGAACCAGCGGCTGCTAGTGCCAATGCACTGTACTGTACCAGCTGGCTTGACAATGCTAAACAATTTGCAATTTGGCTCCTCCGCTTCCCCTCCCTTCCCCCTCCCTGCAGGTGAAGCTGATGGGCTACTGCATGCGCAAGAACCAGCGGCTGCTAGTCTACGAGTTCCTGCCCAACGGAAGTCTTGCCGACCACTTGCACGGTACTGTCTCGTCTCATCTGCTCTGCTTGGTTTGCTGGCGAGTTGGTTGGTGCCGGTAGTATGGTGCTGGTGTGTGTGTGAGTCAGTCCGTGCTAGACTTGCGGAGCGACGGAATCCACGGCTGCTAGTCTACGAATTCCTGCCCAACGGAAGTCTCGCCGACCACTTGCACGGTACCGTGTCTTGTCTCTTCTGCTCTGCTTGGTTTGCTAGCAAGCTGGTTGGTTGTATGGTGCTGCTGTGTGAGTCCATGCTAGTCATGCGGGTGAATCAATGCGGTCGTGAAATCGGCGGGCGAATATAGCTGCTGGATGTGAAATGGGTTCTTTTCTTCGCAACTGGCCTTCTTCCTTACATCGTCCTCCACCCTCTCCCAACCGCCAGCCAGCAAGGTCAGGCAGAACGGCCCCTTGTCGTGGGAGAGGCGGCCGAAGAAAGCCGTTATGGCACTCTAGAAAATCAAGCCGTTTCCTGTGTTGTTATCCGTCCGTCCCTCTGTTCCATTCTCTCCACCAGGCAAAAAGGTCAGGCAAAACGGGCCCCTGTCGTGGGAGAAGCGGCTGAAGATTGCTGTTGGATCAGCACGGGGGTTGAGGTACCTGCACTCGCAGCGCCCACAGGTGCTGCATCGAGACGTGAAATCGCCCAACATTCTCATCACTGACAGCTACGTTGCCAAGGTGGGTAACTGGTCTTCAGGTTTTAGTTGGACCAGCGAGGGGGTTGGGTTGAGTTGAGGTACCTGCACTCTCAACGGCCGCAGGTGCTGCATCGAGACGTGAAGTCGCCCAACATACTCATCACTGACAGCTACGTGGCTAACTTAGGTGGTAGTTGGTGTTTAAGCTGTAGCTGGGTCGGTGAGAGGGTTGAGGTACCTGCACTCGCAGCGCCCACAGGTGCTGCTGGAGACGTGAAGTCGGCCAACATGAACATACTCATCACTGACAGCTACGTGGCTAAGGTGATTGGGGGAGATAGCCGCTGGAATGTATTGTACTGTAGAGGGGTGGGTCGAGTCGAGGTACCTGCCCTGCACTCGCAGCGCCCACAGGTGCTGCTGGAGACGTGAAGTCGGCCAACATACTCATCACTGACAGCTACGTGGCTAAGGTATGCATTGCTATTGCTCCTTCCCGTGAGCTGCTGCCAAGTGAAAGGAATGGAGTGAGTGAGGCTTGCTGTTGGATTGGCAAGGATCCAACACGGGCGAGATGGTGGAGTGGGGGACACCCAGCTATGTTGGTGTGACTTTTTGAGAATTCTCAAAAGTCACACCGAGAATTCTCAAGAGTCACACCAAGAATTCTCGAAAATCACACCGAGAATTCTCAAAAGTCACACCGAGAATTCTCAAAAGTCACTCCGAGAATTCTCAAAAGTCACACCAAGAATTCTCAAAAGTCACACCAAGAATTCTCAAAAGTCACACCAAGAATTCTCAAAAGTCACACCAAGAATTCTCAAAAGTCACACCAACATGGCTTGCTGTTGGATCGGCAAGGATCCAACACGGGCGAGATGGTGGAGTGGGGGGGACCCACCACCTTTCCCTCTCTCTTCTCCATCCCTCTCCTTCACAAACACTCTCACGGCTTACTCACACACATACCTTGTCCTTCCAGGTGGCTGATTTCGTGTGTGTGAAGCTGATCAAGCAGACGACTTTAGCAGAGGACCGGACCCCAACACGGGGGAGATGGTGGAGACGCGCCCACCAGCTCCCATCCCGCTCTCTCTTTCCCATCGCCCACTCTCACACATGCACCACCCCGCACTCTCTCCCTTCAGGTAGCTGATTTCGGGTGTGCAAAGGTGATCAAGACGATTCAAAGGTGAAGGACCCCAACGCAGGCGAGATGGTGGAGACGCTGGGGGGGAACTTCTCGTCCCTCTCTCTTTCCCATCTCTCTCTCACTCATGCACCGCCCCATACTCCCTACCTTCAGGTGGCGGACTTTGGGTGTGCGAAGCTGATCAAGCAGACCATCCTAGTAGAGGATCCCAACACTGGCGAGATGGTGGAGACTCTGGGGGCGAACCATCTTTAACCACCACCTGCCTCTCTCACTTCCATCTCTCTCCCTCACACATGCACCAACCCATACTCCCTTTTAGGTGGCTGACTTTGGGTGTGCGAAGCTGATCAAGCAGACCATCCTAGTAGAGGACCCCACCACTGGCGAGATGGTGGAGACGCTGGGGGAGAACCACCACCACCAACTCCCACCTTCCTCTCACGCCCCCTTGTGCACATGTGGCATGCCTTCAGGTGGCTGATTTCGGGTGTGCGAAGCTGATCAAGCAGACCATCATGGTAGAGGACCCCACCACTGGGGAGATGGTGGAGACGCTGGGGGAGAATGTGGATGTGGCGATGGGCACACACGGCCACATGGCTCCTGAAATCCTGATGACTGGAGAAATTAGCGCTGCTACGGACGTGTACAGGTATGTACGGGGGTGCTTATGGATAGAGGGGATAGACATTTTTAGAACGGGAGAACGTGAATGCAGCCATGGTCACGCACGGCCCCATGGCCCCTGAGATTCTGATGGCTGGCGAGATCAGCGCTGCTACGGATGTGTATAGGTAAGCCACACACCATCATAGAAGGAGAGAACGTGAATGCAGCCATGGTCACGCACGGCCCCATGGCCCCTGAGATTCTGATGACGGGGGAGATCAGCGCTGCTACTGATGTGTACAGGTAGGCACAAATGAGTGTGCTTCTAAAGGGGACAACCAGGAGAGATGGTGGAGACGCTGGGGGAGAACGTGCATGTGGCAATGTTTTGAGACGTCTCGAAATTCGCTGGGTTCGAAACGCAGCAAGCCTACTAAGCGTAACGATCTGGGGGAGAACGTGCATGTGGCAATGGGCACACAGTGGTTGTTGCTGTTGTTGCCTGTTGCTGGTCAATAGCACATAAGCAATGGGCACACAATGCGTGAGTGAGGGGAGCTTCTTGTTGGTTGTTGCTGGCTGGTCACATACACATGCCATTCCCACTCCCTCTCTCCCTCTCTCCCACGCCCCTCTCTCAGCTCAGCTTGGAGTGGTATTTCTGCTGACCCTTACACCCCATTGGCTGACCTTCATCACCCTCCACTCCCCACCACACCCCTTTGTAATGCCATGCATGCCCCCACTCCGTCGCTCCCTCTCTCCCCTGCTCCCCTCTCAGTTTCGGAGTGGTGCTGCTGGCACTGACAGCCTGTTGACTCGTCTTCAACACCACCCACTCCCCACACCCTTCGTAATGCTATGTCCCCACTCCCGCTCTCCCTCGCTCCCTTTCTCCGCTGCCTCCCTCTCAGCTTCGGAGTGGTGATGTTGGAATTATTGAGTGGCAGAGTGCTGGCGGTGTTTGAAAGCGTTTGCCATGCCATCATGCCTCTCCCTCTATCCCTCGCTCCCTGTCTCCCCCGCCTCCCTCTCAGCTTCGGAGTGGTGATGTTGGAATTATTGAGTGGCAGAGTGCCCGTGTTTGAAGACGGCACGATGCTGACACATTGGGTGAGTGACGGGTGGCTCTTTTCTTGTGGTTGCGTGCTGTGAGTTAAGGCGATATCGTTGGGTGGTGCTGGTCACAAGGCATAGGGATGGTGGTGTGACCAGCACCGCCCAACCATGTGGTGTTGTTGCTGAAGATTCTGAGAGGCAGAGAGCCGGTGTTTGAGGATGGCACGCTGCGCACACATTGGGTGAGTGAGGGGTGCTTCTTGTTGGTTGTTGCTGGTCACATGCACATGGCATAAAGACAGCACTGGTTGCTGCTGAAGATTCTGAGAGGCAGAGAGCCGGTGTTTGAGGATGGCACGCTGCTCACACATTGGGTGAGTGAGGGGTGCTTCTTGTTGGTTGTTGCTGGTCACATGCACATGGCATAAAGATAGCACTGGTTGCTGCTGAAGATTCTGAGAGGCAGAGAGCCGGTGTTTGAGGATGGCACGCTGCTCACACATTGGGTGAGTGAGGGGTGCTTCTTGTTGGTTGTTGCTGGTCACATGCACATGGCATAAAGATAGCACTGGTTGCTGCTGAAGATTCTGAGAGGCAGAGAGCCGGTGTTTGAGGATGGCACGCTGCTCACACATTGGGTGAGTGAGGGGTGCTTCTTGTTGGTTGTTGCTGGTCACATGCACATGGCATAAAGATATCACTGGTTGCTGCTGAAGATTCTGAGAGGCAGAGAGCCGGTGTTTGAGGATGGCACGCTGCTCACACATTGGGTGAGTGAGGGGTGCTTCTTGTTGGTTGTTGCTGGTCACATGCACATGGCATAAAGACAGCACTGGTTGCTGCTGAAGATTCTGAGAGGCAGAGAGCCGGTGTTTGAGGATGGCACGCTGCTCACACATTGGGTGAGTGAGGGGTGCTTCTTGTTGGTTGTTGCTGGTCACATGCACATGGCATAAAGATATCACTGGTTGCTGCTGAAGATTCTGAGAGGCAGAGAGCCGGTGTTTGAGGATGGCACGCTGCTCACACATTGGGTGAGTGAGGGGTGCTTCTTGTTGGTTGTTGACTCATGCTTTTTTTGTGTGGTGCTGGCGCATCTGGTGAATGAGGGAATGCTGTTGTGTTGTGTGTAACGTCTGAGTCGACTCAAAGGTCACCTGGTTTGTTGTGTCCTGCTTGCTTGCTGGTGATGATCCTTGGTGCTGTGCTCCTCATCCACCCGATCCTTCATCCTCATTCTTTTTTCGTGTGCTGCTGGCGCATCGGGTGAATGAGGGAATGCTGTTGCGTGTTGGCGGCTTTGCCTGTGTTGGCAGCTTTGCCTGTGTTGGCAGCTTTGCCTGAATTGGCAGCTTTGCCTGAATTGGCAGCTTTGCCTGAATTGGCAGCTTTTCCTGTGTTGGCGGCTTTGCCTGAGTTTGGGAACTCCAGCACTCACAGGCCACTCGTTCCCCCTCCCTTCCCCTCCCTCCTCCTCCCTCCCCTCCTTTCCCCACACACCTTTCAGGCCACGCCTTTCTTAAAAGACAAGAGGTGGGATGAGCTGATCGATCCTGCCATGCTTGCTGCTCACACACCAGAAGGGGGAGGAGGAGCAGGAGGAGGGGAAGGAGCGGTGCCAGCTGGCACCGGCGCCGGTGCCGATGCTGACGTGGTGCTGCCCAGGGTGGCTGCCACGTCAGCGTTTGCTCGGTGCGCTGAGCTGGCGGAGTCGTGCATCCAGTTTGACCCGCTGATGCGGCCGAGCATGGAGGACGTGGCACACACCCTGCAAGCGATCCAATTAGGTATTTCTTATGAAGGCATGGTTTGAATTGTGTAAGGTACTGTACTGTGTAAGGTGCTGTATTGTGTAAGGTTTGTTCAGGTGCATGCTGCTGACTGACGCGGTCGACCATGGTGGGTATGGCTCACATTCCTTGAGTTGAGACTTCTCAAAAGGCAATTCACTCTGGTACGCGCCTTAAGGGTACGTTATAGAGTCAAGAAATCGTGGTTTTTGAGGCGACTCAAAAGTCACTCTGATACGAGCCTTAAGGGTACGTTATAGAGTCAAGAAATCGTGGCTTTTGAGGCGACTCAAAAGTCACTCTGATACGCGCCTTAAGGGTACGTTATAGAGTCATGGAATCGTGGACTGATGTTGCTAGTACTAGCAAGCATGCGTTGGTGGTTGGTATTTACAGAGTACATGTCATCTGGTATTGTTCCTTCATTCACCACACCAGTTGATTAGATGCTTTCCTGTTCTTCAAACCTTCCAAGCCCGGCAGCAGCAATGGTAAATAGTGCTATATTATCTCACGACTTTGTTTCACCTCACTTGTCTCCCCTCCTTTTTCCGCAGATAAAGAAAACCCCTCCCTATTCTCTCAGCCTATCAGACGTAGCAGCAGCAGCAGCACCACCAACCCTTCTTCTGTCCCAGCAGCAACAGACAGCAGCAGTAATACTGATAACACGATCAGTGGGATCAGCAGCAGCGGCAGCGTCGGCAGCAACGGCAGCAGCGGAAGCATCGGCGGCAGCAGCGCAAGACCTCCTTCCTCCTCCTCCTCCTCCCGTGCCCGACCCTCCTCCTCCCACTCGCAACCTGCCTCCCGAAGCTCGTCAGGTTCGGATGAGGCTCGGATTGTTCGAAGAAACTCTCAGGAAGGTGGTGGGTTTGAAAGAGGAGTGAGCGGTGCAGATGGGTGGGATGAGATGATTGAGGCAGACAAAGAAGGGAGAGAGGGGAGAGAAGGGAGAGAAGGAAGAGAGGGGAGAGAGGGGAGAGAAGGGAGAGAGGGAAGAGAAGGGAGAGAGGGAAGAGAGGGGAGAGAAGGGAGAGAAGGAAGAGAGGGGAGAGAAGGGAAAGGACAGCGGGAGAAAGGAGAGGTGAGGGACAGAGAAACGGGGGGGAAGACAGACAGAGGGTCGAAAAGGGAGAAAGGGGAGAGGCGGAAGGAGAAGGTTAAGAGCAGGAGCGGACCAATGGCTTTGGAAGGGAATAGAGTACCCCACTAGTTGACTTTTGAATCGACTAGAAAGTCAACTTGGGAGGGGAAGGAGAAGAGCAGAACAGAAGCGGACCAATGGCTGTGGAGGGAAACAGAAGGTACCCCACTAGGCCTTTGCAAGGCGGAAGATCGTGATACTTGGTTCAACGAATCCGGACAGAACGGCCAGTGTTACGGATGATTCTTCGAATGTGGACAAGAAACGGCGATTGAGCTCTTGGTTCACACGAAATGGCAATGCAATGCAATCGCTTGATTCACAGAACATGGACATGAAAGGCAGGCACATTCATTCAATATAGGCAAACGACGAATTGTGGTTGGAGAAAGCAACCACTAAGTATAGGCTTACAAGAAATGGCAATGCAATGCAAACGCTTGATTCACAGAACATGGACATGAAAGGCAGGCACTTTTATTCAATATGGGCAAGCGACGAAGTGTGGTTGGAATGCGCAGGATGACATGTTATCATATCACAGGAGGATGAAAGAACCCAACCCATATTGCACATGCATATGCCCACTTGCTGCAATGGCAATAGCAGTACTACAGTACTACAGTACAAGCATTATGGCACAAGACAAAGAATTATCAGTACAAGCATTACATTACCAGGAATGCAAATGCAAGATTGACCGCAGCAGCTGTTAGAATACTAGGAAGTGATGATGTCATTAGGTGAAGGGGGGGTACAAGAAGAATGTCGAGAGAAATATTGTACCCCCTAGTGCTAACACCCATACAGCCTAGATAACCTAAACATGCATGTATTGTTTGACAAACCCCCATAGGCGAAATGGGGGATAGCCAGAGCAAGCAAATGTCACAAGACCAGACAAGAGAAGAAACAAAACACAGCTCAGGGTGGATCACAAAGTCACCACACACTCTGAGCACAAGTAAGAGGCCACAAGGCCAGTTCACATGCAGAGATGTATATGCAGCAAAGCACAGTGATCACTACCTAACAAGAGCAAGCATGCAGGTATGTATGTATAGATCACAGTACAAGCAAAGTCTACAGCAAGTGAGAAAACGTGGGCACAAGGCCTAACAGAGTGCAGAAACGCTGATGATCACCAGACGGAAGCGCCTTGGTGAATATATCAGCTGTGTTGGCCCGAGTGGCCACGTGAGCAAGACGAAGCTGACCACGCATGCTGCAACTCTCGAGCCAGGAAGTAACGCAGAGCGATGTGCTTCGTTCTGTGCTCCAGTCTGTGCTCCTGACACAAGGCAATGGCGGCCTTGTTGTCGACGTACAGCACTGGAGGAGAACGAGGCCGCTCTCCCAAGTCCGTCAGCAGGTAGGTGAGCCAGCGTAACTCCTGTGCAGCCATGGCTGTGGCGTAGATCTCAGCCTCACAACTGGAGCTGAGAACTGAAAACGAGCGTGTAGAACGCCAAGAGACCGAACCAGAGCCAAGGCTGAAGGTGTAACCCTGTGACGACCGCTGTGTAGCCTGGTCGTCAACCCAAGAAGCGTCTGAGTGCCCAGTGAGGACAACGTCGCTCTGTCCTCCAAGCACGAGCCCCATGCCCGATGTACTGCACAAGTAGCGTAGTACCCTCTTAGCAGCATCCATGTGCACCTTTCGGTGCCTACCAGGAGCCACGTAGCGAGCCAGAAGGCCAAGAGGGTACGCAAGGTCAGGACGAGTGCAAGTCATCAGGTACATGAGGCAGCCCACTAGCTCTGGATAAGGACCACTCGGCTCTACGGACTCGTCCGAAGGTGGAGCTGAGAGCGAGTGACCTGTAGACAGAGGAGTGTGCTGTGCAGAGGACCAGGTGAAGCCGAAGCGCTGAAGGACCTGCTGCACCATGTGTGACTGAGTCAGTGTGATGGTGCGGCGTGCTCTGTCCCGGGTGATCCGCAAGCCAAGATAGCTTGTCAGCTCACCCAGGTCTGTGCACGTGTGTCTCTTCTGCAGCTCCGACTTCACCAGGGCGAGAGCCTCAGTGTCAGCAGTGGCAAAGACCAAGTCGTCGACGTACACGAGGATGTAGAACGGCGGCAGCGAAGTGTCGGTGCGGAGAAACAGCGACGGGTCAGCAGTCGACGGAGCAAACCCAAGAGCCGCAAGTGTCGTCCTCAGTGTGTCGTGCCACTCACGTGGCGCCTGGCGGAGACCGTAGACCGGCCGCCTGAGGCTCCACTGGGTACCAGGAGGGAACGACCCAGTGAAGCTAGGTGGGCGGCGCAGCCAGATCTCCTCGTGCAGGCTGCCCTGTAAGAAGGATGTGCTGAAGTCAAGAGAGTGAAGCTCGTAGTCACGCTGAGCGGCAACGTGCAGCAGCACCCGAAGAGTGGTCATCTTCGGGGTGGGGGAGAAGGTCTGGAAGAAGTCTACTCCCTCTCGCTGACTGAAACCTCGTGCAACGTAACGCGCCTTGAAGGCAGGCGGAGAACTTGGCGGCCGCTTCACCCTGAAAATCCACATGCCACTGACGATGTTCGCCCCAGGTGGGGGAACCTTGCGACGTAGGTGCCTGTGGACTTCCAGGATGCCATCTCTGCGTCCATGGCTGTCTGCCACTGAGAGGAGTACTCACCCGCGATCGCCTCAGCGTAAGAGCGCGGGGTCGGGATGTCTGGAGCATCCGGGTCTCTCTCAGGGGCAAGCAGCATGGACACGAGATGAGGCGCAGCGGCTGCAAGACACTCAAGGTCCTCGTGCCTGTCCTCAAGGACGTCCATGCCAAGAGCACACTCACCCCCGACGGACGGAGGACAGACAGACTCAGACTCAGCAACAAGACTAGCGGCGTAGTCTAGACGACAGGCAGCAGCAAAGTCAACAAGCTCAGCAACTAAGGCAGACGTAGCAGCAGACTCAAACGACGGGTCAATGACAACAGTGGCTAGCAGACGCGTGACAGTAGGGTGCTCAGCACGAAACCGGTCAGACTCGGGGTCCGCAACGATAGGCAGAGAAGACGCAGGAGGGGACGGCAGAGGAACACGCTGTGGAGGAGAGGAAGAACGACGGACTACGAGGTGGGTGTCGGGGACAGCCGGCAGACGCGGACGAGGAACACGACGACCGGAACGACCAGAACTGACAGGCGAGACAGGACGCGACGCAGGCTCACGACGCTCAGTAAGACTCCCTATCTGCTCAGTGTAAGGAGAAGGAGCAGGCAGCAATGAGCCAGGCTGTAACGGAAGACCAGTAGACGAAGGGAGACTAAGAACCTGGCGAAGCACAGAGTCAGGCGGTGGCTGAGACGACGGAGACGGTGGAGCGAAGAACAGGCGCGGCTGTGCAGTGACACCAGCACCAGCAGCTCCAGTACCCCCAGCAGCTCCAGCACCTCCAGCAGCTCCAGAACCTCCAGCGCCAGCACCCTCAGCAGCTCCAGAACCTCCAGCTCTAGCGCCACCAGCGCCAGTACCTCCAACAGCTACAGAACCCTCAGCGCCAGCTCCTCCAGGACCAGCTCCACCAACAGCAGCACCCCCAGAACCGGCACCTCCAGTCCCAGGGTCTCCAGCCTCAGTGCCTCCAGCAGCAGCACCCTCAGGCTCAGCACCTCCAGCCCCATGAGCTCCAGTACCTCCAGTACGAGCACCTCCGGGACCAGCACCACTCCCAGCTCCAGTGACGTCAGCAGAAGTACCTCCAGCGGCAGAGCCCCGAGCTCCAGAAGCGCGACCCTGACGCCGACCGTACCAGTCGTGCAGCTGCTGCGAGGTGAGAGGCACACGCGGACGAAGGCGGCTACTCCAAGGAAGCCGCGCAACAGCAGACTCAGAACCCTCAGCGCCAGAACCCGCAGCAGCTCCAGAACCTCCAGCGCCAGCACCCTCAGCAGCTCCAGAACCTCCAGCTCCAGCGCCACCAGCGCCAGCACCTCCAGCAGCTCCAGAACCTCCAGCTCCAGCACCCTCAGCAGCTCCAGAACCCCCAGCAGAAACAACT